TGGCCTGGTGGGCGGTTTGCACCTCACCGGTTGTACCACGTTTGAGCGCGGAGGCTCATGAGCAACCTGCACCCCACTCCCTCCCTCCCAGACACAAGACCCACACACAACCCCCACAGCGTGGACGACTGCGTGTTCAGAAACACCAAGCAGCGAGGCGAGGGTGAGGGGGTAAGGGGCTGTGTGGGGCAGAATCTACATCTGACTTATCTGTGACTACTCCATCTAGCCTGGGGGGGCGGAGGAGGGGGGGGGGTAAGATATGGGTGAGGCCAGCTAGTCGGACACCCTCCCGTCGTCGGAATACTCCTCGGAGCGGTCGGCGTCCTCGTCGTCGTCCTCGGTCTGCATCGCCTCGCCAGCCGTGAACCTGAACACGACGCGGAGGTCGGGCGAGAGGTCTGCATCGCCTCGCCGGCTGTGAACCTGAACACGCTCGGCGTCGGCCGGCGCCGAGGCGCCGGCGGCCGTCATCAGGTGCATGACATATTTGTCGCGGCATGCCGCATCAATCTCTCCCTACTCGGCCAGCTCGTTTGCGAGCCAGTCCGAGGCGACGGTCGTCGCCACGGTCCCCTGGGGAACCTTGGCGTACACCTTGCTGGGGCCGCGTCGATACCCATCGTCCCTCTCCGGGGGCAGTGAGTATCGACCTCTATTTTGGACCCGGCCTGGCTGCGCGTCTGCGCAGCTGCAGTCCGCAGCCCGGCCATCACGTACTGGATGTTCTCGCGCAGCTGCGCCCGCGGGGCCTCCGCGCGCTCGGCCTGGCTCGCGGCGCGCTCGCCAGCCTCCGTCGCCCGGCGCGCCTTCTGCCGGGCCTTCTTGGCCTTGCGTGCCGCGGCTCGAGCCGCGAGCTGCTCCTTGGTGGGATCCTTCTTCTTCAGCGCGGTGCGCTCGACGTACGAGCGCTCCGCCGCCTGCACCGACTCGCGGTCGCCCGCGGCCTTCTCGTGCTTCAGGTCGATCTCGATGGTCGCGTAGCCAGGCAATACCAGCCTGACCTGCGACGCACCTGCGAGCCTTGCGACCATCACCGCGTCCTCCAGTTGCGCGCGATTGGAGCTATTCCAGCGTCCGCTGCGCATCCCCGCACCCCGGCAGCACGACGGTGGCCGGCGCTTGCGCACCAGCCCCGTCCGCCACCGGTTCCGCGGCCGCGGTCCCTGTCATAGCTACGCGCGCCATGGATCGGCGGGCACTTAGGGTAGCACTTTGAATGCCGTGGGGCTCCTGTCGTTGGACGTGGAGACGCGAGGGTTGCCCCCCCTTGCCCGTTGGCGTTGCCCCACCACCTGCACGACCTTCCTCGTGTGTGTGGAGAAGTTTACCTTATCCCTTACCTTACCAATCCGAATGGCCATCGATGTCCGGTCTGCATCATCTACCCCCCCGACTGTCTCCCGTGTGTCTTTCACCCAACCAGACCCTGACCCCACTTCCCCCACTTGCCCGCTCCGACGCTCTTGTCCCACGCGGCCGAAGCGCGCCGAGAGACGCAGACCCCCCCCCCCCCTCCCCGCGGCCCCCGAAGATTGGGCCGCTCCGCTGGCTCCCTCGGTGAGCTGCGGGGGGGCGCCGGCCGCTTCCTGCCTGGGTCTCCGGCGAGCTGCCGCAAA